ATGCAAAAGGTGTTGAGGTGTTTGAAAGAAATACCAAGGTTGGGCGCATTTTAAGCGGCTTCCTCGAAATCGTCTTGTGGGCTGTTGAAGTTAATACTCCGGCGGTCATGCACCTGTAGATTTTTGGTTTCAGCCAGTTCTCCCTTTTTTGAAACCCAGGCTATAAATTTAAACCATAAAATAAAAAAGACCCACAGAAAATCTAGGGCTCTCTACTATCTTATAGCATGAGTGCTATGACCACGGTCTCGCATTATTTCATTTTCTTCTTTACTGTCACATAAATGTATCACCCGAGCCTGCAGGGAACTGACCGCATCATAGCCGGATTAGCGTGTTAAAGGAAATTAAGTTTATACTGAAAAGATTAAATAAGATCGAGAAATTTACCGCGCGCATTCGATTCATGAAATACCCCAGTTGTGGTCGCAGAGGTGTGTTCTTTGAAACCACGAGTAGCTTGATCTATTTTAAAATCAGTACTACAGTTCCTAATTATAAGGGGGTCGTGTTGTAATCAACTTTTCTGTTACAAAAGATCGTTGTATTTCAAAGATCAAAATCTCAATCCAACATCATCTAACGCTTCGGGTTGTCGAACATTAAGCTCCAGATTATACCAAGTGCTGGCTGTACGGGGAAATCATTTTGGGAGCGGACGATAGCGACATAAATCTTGTTAACTTCGTCGACAGCGTACATTCCTTTACGCCATCAGTTTGTAAGCTCAGAAATATCAGCTAATCAGCTAGGAAAAAATCCTCTTACTTGCGGGTTATCTATCATACCATTTTGGGTTTTAATTATTCAAAAACCCGGAGTTTAGGTATCGAGTGGCTCTCTGTCCACTAAAGGTTAAAAGCCCCCGAGGCTTCAACTATCAAATCTACTTTGAATGTTGATTAAAAGTTTTTATTGCATTTTGCTTCCTTACCCAACCGTCACAGTCCCTCAGTGTCGGCTTAAAACTGACCCCCTGCCTTCCAAAGAAAACGGTTTTCTTAAATATATTCGTGACCACCCCGGATATGCTGATGAAATCGGCTAAGAACAGATCGTGTTTTGAAACACGCGATGGCGTGACCTTTACAAAAGTGAAGGAAACCCCGTGACGTTTTGAAGTTAAAATATTTCCATAACCTGTTGTCATAAACCGTCCAGAGGTTTAATTGAAACTACATAATCTCCAAGTTCGCCGGCTGGCTGTTAAAAAGTTAAACAAGAGCTGTTTTCAAAGGTCGCGTGTTTTCAGCGGACTTTCAAGCATCAACTGGGCTTATGATGAAAGAGCCGCTGTTTTCAAATTTATTCTCATGGTTATGTTTCTTTTGGGTGGCAGTTCTTTGTACAAGTAAGTGAAGTCTTTAATTCATAACGCACGTTCTTCGGTCTTTGAAGGAATTCTACGGTTTGTGAACAGATTGCAGCTGTTTATGTTTTGATACTGATTTAGTCATGACAGAATATTGTATGCAGCCGACCTAGTTGTACATCGTCTGAATCCTTAATCATATAACGCCGGCATTCAATTTAAGCGAAAAAATATTTTCTACGTGGGTACACATAAAAATCAAAACTGAAAATCTTAGTCCAATGTGTTTTTAAAAGACAACAAAAAATGTAGGATTTCGCAAGATTCAGCAATCCGAATGTTCCGGGCTCAGTATGCAAATTTCTACGACCTCTTCTAATCGGTATACTTAAGCAATTGTTCAATATTATTCCGTTCCGCCTGTTAACGCACTTCTGATAAGATGTTTCTTCCTTTATTGTTGTCTTTCTTTTTAGAACTTACGCGATCGCTTCAGTTTTACACGGTTTTGTACAGTATTTACCTCGTTGGCACGTGTTGTCCATCTTAGTTTGCTTCAGTTTTGGACATCAAGCGTGTTATACAAAAGAGGATTACTGCAATTGCTATGCTAGGTATAACGTATGGTGCACGAGTAGTGCAACAGTATTTTTTGCCAAGTCTGCCAACAATTGTAGGTACAGCTTTATGATTAAACGAACAAGTTCTCCTTAAATTTTGAGCAATATTGGACCGTTTTTCCCTCACCTTATTTATTGTTAGAATTGGGCTCACGCCAAAATTAATTAGTTTTTTTTTCCTAGTCATGTTCTAAAGCATGGCACAATTGAAATTGCCTTTTGTTGTCCCGGAAGTCATTTGCTTTGGAGTACAAAAGACTTGCCCTCTAAAATGTAAACGAGGCGGGGCGTTTGTTACGTAATTCAAGTATATGCCGTTTTGTTTCTTAGTGTTTCAGTTTCCGACTGACCTTCTTTGCATGCTAATGTCATAAGAGACAATAAAACAAGAGTACAGTAAGCGCCTTACGAAAAAAAAAAAGAACCTTTGGTTGAGCAACCTCTGAGCTAAAGGTATAGTTGAGGCATCAGTATGACCCTCAGGAAGCGGGCTCATATACACCGTATAAAACTAATCAAAAACAACGATCCTTCGAGGAAAAATTATGTTAACGGATCGCAGTTTTTAACCGAACTGGTTAACAACTGCATTTCAAAAAAAATAACAGTTAGAAGCGAAAAAAGTTTATTTCACGTAATGTGCGGAGATTCAACCGAAATATCCCACAACAAATTCATTGCGTTCTCAGTCTATAATTCATTTCTAAGTAATGTATATGTTGTAGTTAATCTTTTATGTCAGGTAATTTTTGTTTTTCTTTTGTTTTGGGGTATGGCAATGGTGCTGATGAAGATAAAACAAGAGAAAAATAAATATTACCTGAGATAAAGAATTAACCACGACATATATATTATCATTTTTTTAAAAAAAAAAATATGGCGCTTCTTTTCGTTAATTTATTAGGACTGTGTTGGGAAATGGGTCCGTCAATAACACTTGTTTGGTTTTCAAACACCTCGAACTTTTAAGTAACCTTTAAAAAGTTTAGTAAATTAACAGCTTATTGCTAATCTTTGAACAGTGAAAAGCAATAACCTCAGCTTTTAAGTACTTTTTCTTAGCTTTTGCAATTTTTTCACAAATTTAACCGCGACGAAGGATGTGATGGCCTCCGAATAAGAGAAGTTGTGCCCCAGTTGTGCAGAAGCGTTGCGTTGGCCACGTGGATATACTTCTCATTGCACGTGACGTCCAGCTCGTGCTTTCTAGATTGATTCCGTTCGACGGTACTTGACGATGCAAAATGACGTTGAAATGCCAACTACAGACCGTCCACTATAAAAAGTTGTCAATTTTATGAACTTAAGTACCATGAAAAGTTTGGCTGTATCTTAAATCAAGAATGACAAAAAATCAATGAAAAGTGCTCAAGCCCGGAATTTGAGAAAGCGGATAATTCAGATTACTGATACCCAATCCAAGCAAGAGATAAAACCGATTTTCTTGTTATAAGCTTGCCTTCTGTTAATGAAAATCCATTTTGCAAAAAAGTTTACGGTTTGGTATAATCTTTCTTTGGAATTCCTTTAATTCGATCACGACGTAATAGTTTAAAGGATAATATTTTTTCATTGTTTCATAGGATTCGGACAAATCAGCCTATGTCCGTTTTGACAACCCAGTGTCGTGTGAATTCAATATCAGTAGGAACTCGTAAAACAATTAACTCTCAGTTTCCGGTATTCACTTTAGCTTTTGAACTTGAGAGCCTTATCAGTCACGTGGCTAACAGATCTGCAAATTATTGAAACAAAAGAAAGTTTTCAAATATAAAGAAAAAAGTTCAGCTCCCATTCACAGGATTAGCTAAAGGCACCAACATGGCCGTTGTTGCTTTGTTTTGGCACACCAATGCGGTGAACGTGACGTCGTGTGCAAACACAATAAAAACGTAACGCAACTTACCGTGAAGCGGACAAATGCTACGTGTTCGAGCATGTCTTAGCAAAGCACGTGAGAAAATGCTTGCTAATGTCCCATATGAAACGTGATCTGGGACAGGGAAAAGCCAGAGCGGCTAAGCATTTAACTGCAGAGGTAAAAATTCCTGATTAATAAATTGCCAGTACCTGTGTACAGAAGAGAACACGCTGGCTTCTTATGAAATGATGTCTGAAGCGTTATCTAATTTAGTTTGGTCAATCCTAAGTTGATCAGATTCACAGGTTTTTCCCTGCCGGCGCAGTAACCCAATTATTAGATAGCCGAGAATAGATGTAGAAAATATCAGCAGGTACCAGTAGAATATTTTGACGGCAAACTTGGCTATTTGAAATATAAAGGCGTTGTTGTCGTATCAGACTCCGTTTACATGGCAGACCAAGGCAGTTTTGGCAGAAATAGCGTCAAAGATCTCCTTGCGTGCGCCCGCGAAGAACATTTCTAAGTGTGAAGAGTGTTTATCTAAATGTACTTTTGTTGTTGACTTTGAAAAAGATATTACAACTAGAGAGAACTTTACATTTTACGATAGCTAATCAAAAAGAAAAAAAGTTAAATAAATAAGATACGTTATGACAAAAGGATATCTAGGAGCTAAATAAACATTGATGTTTTCGTGCTAACTCCTAGCTATAAAATGATACCTTTTTAGCTCAATTTTTTTTAACTCAGAGGTGACAGGTGACGGTCGAACCAACTTCGTGTTTCGTTTATAATTACTCATTTTCTTTTCTTTTCATTTCTTCAATTTATTCTTGAATTTGTTTTCTACTCAAATAGGTTAAAAATCAGTCAATAGGTCCTTAAATTACTTTTTTTGAGAAAAGAAGGCGGATAACGTTTCGTCTACCGCACTGATTCTTCAGTTTTTGTCTCATTATCCCACTCAACCCATGGCTATATCGGTTCAATTCTGCTTAGAAACGTTGCTCTAATCGGTTAATTCCGAATTTATATTTAATGAGCTGAAAATAGACAATTTTGTTATTTTAATATATAAAAATAAGCTGCGACCGCGGGGAAAACGTGTGAAACAGCCCGTGTGCTTAAATTAACTCTTGTGTTAAGTGCGTGAGAGCAAAAAGGTTAATTTAAGTTCAGAGAACTCATATACGATCTGATGAGTGTCAGGAGCTTATTGTAGACACAATATGCTGAGCGTTATAAATTATGCGCATCCCGGATAATGTTTTTGAAAAGTCTATATATGTAAACAAGCTTGACAAGGAAAAGCATTCTTTGCATCGCGTCCAACGAAAGAAAACAGTGCAAATGGAAGTACTAAGTTTGTACTTGAGTTTCTTGACGATATGTGGAACGCTGGGCCGGACGTTAATATTTCTTCAAGTGATGCTGTTGTGTGCGAGTTCATGTAAGTCATGTATTAAGTACTGATCGAAATATTAACTTCATTTATCAAGTTTTAGAGATATACCCGCGAAACACCCGGCTTTCACACCCTTTCATCAATTTTTGCTGTGTTGATATTTTGCATTATCAAAATTCAATTTATCTAACAAAAATGCGCTTTGCGAGAAAACAAAAAATCTTGGCTTTTGTTTGCCTTGGATATGCTGATAACAAGCAAGTGCTACTTCAATTAATAATGACGACCATAAAATATTTTTCAAGCATATATATTTTTTTAATCACCAAACTTGTAATGATAAAGCGAAGAAGGTTAGCCTAGTTTGTGTTTAGCTATGGGATTATACAGTCACCGCCCTGTGCTGTGAATACAACACAATAACTAAAAATAAGCTCTTTTACACTAATACGTTCAAGAGTTCAAGGTCACTTGATTTCCTTTGCTTGTTGAATATTTTTGTCACGTGCGAGGTCTATGTTTTGTCAAATATCGTGCACCGTGAAGAGCCGCTAAATTGACTGGAAGATTATACGGCGGGTTCAAAATGAACCTGGCATGAATAAAGATACATAATATTATAAATAGCTACTGCTAACGTAACTGAAACCGGTTAGACTGCTTGTAGTCCCTCGGCTTTGCCTCGCTCGCTCGCATGTTGTTTAGTACGTAACATGTTCGCCCGCGCCCTTTAGGGACAACTTCGAGTCATAAACTGTCTGTTTCTACGAAAATTTAGGAAGCCTTTTTTAGATATTGTCTTTTTTAAAAAATGGGACTCTTGTCCATCTATTTGTCTATTTTGTGATAGCACTTGATTATAGGAGCAGTAAGTTGCATCATAACCTTGGATATAGAATACGCTTTCACTAGGATCTTAACTGAGTAGCCTGAGAAAATGGCCGACGATTGGCGACGCTACCACTGGTTTCCCCGCCAAATGACGTCTGAGAGACGAGCGCAAATATTCCATACTGATGACGCGTCACTACCCAGATCTGGGTAGTGCTTCTGATTGGTCGTGCCGAGTAGGAAACTTGATTCAACCAATCAGAAGCACTACCCACATCTGGGTAGTGACGCGTCATCTCTGCGTTCGTTTCTCAGACGTCATTTGGCAGGGAAACCAGTGGTAGCGTCGCCAAATATCGGCTGTTTTCTTGGGCCTCAGTGATTTGAACAATTTTCAGTTTTTATCTTAATTTGAACGTCCCCAAGGGGATTAAATTAAAACTACCACTCATTAATGCTCACTGATGTTGTATTTACTTTCTTTTAGCGGGTAATCCTTCCCCGACTTTAATATCAGGAGAAAAGCGCATAAGTTTGCAATGTCTACATAATTATATGCTTCTGGATATGGACTTGCAGGATATACCTGGACTCGAACCAGCCTCACTTCATTTGCGGCACTTCTCGTGTAAACCTTATCAAGTTCTGGACACACGAGCTATATTTCGAGTACCCTTTCAAGGTTGCGGGACAACTCGAGAGAGCAATTCGGACTACATCGTTTATGAAAATGTCGTGGATAACTCTAAGGAATCCAACACTACACGCGTGTTGATCAGACATGCGCAAGAACTTCGTTATCCTTTCTCTTGCCGTTATCGTCAAAAGTATTTCCTGATATTGCAAGAAGGGCAGTCCGGCAAACGGCGGGAAAATGAAATTGACAGGGGGAACGGAAACAGTACAAAAGAAAAAGGTAAATGTTACTACAAACTGAATTCATGTTTCATACTGAATTAGTTAATAGAGCGGTTTTCACTTGACTGTCGAAAGGGATTGGTTTTGGTTTTACTACGCCCTTTGGTTGGCTAGTGTATTTACTTTGGTTTTGGTTTTACGACAGTCAAGTGAAAACCGCTCTAGAATCTTTACTTGCATATATAGTATCTACCAACCCCATACTGAAGAAAACTTGCTTATTTCACCACAAAAAACGAAGGACAAGAGTACAGAAATACACAGACGCAATGTGGTGAGGAAGTCCAAAAAGAAACCATAAGGCTTATAGGTATTGGGTTACCCCAGAGTATAAGAGTATAAGTTTACAACCCGGGCTCGCGCCATATATGTAACTTCCTATGACTCTCGCCATAAATGGAAGTGTATAAACTTTATCGGTTATCTCTCGTATTTAGTGCCATATATCTTTCTCTAACTTCCTGCCTCGATTAACTATTGCTAATTGCTGGTAGATACTTCTCCTCATCTAATTCATGCTAAAATAAAGTTGTTATTGTTGTTGGTCCCTCACCGAGAATTTGCCTTGCCTTGCCTTGCGTCCAGACTAGCACGGACAGCAATCTAATTTATTTTAAAACAATGAGATACAATCCGTATCAGTAGCATTAACAGTACGTACAGTGAGATTAACAGTCAGTGCGAGCATCAAATGCCTCGAAAACTTTGTCGTATTAGGGTGGTGATCTTAGTACGAGGTTAAAAAGGACTGAAAATAAAAAGAACCAAACAAATAAGAGCGACCGAGCTGTTTGTCTTTTTTTAACACAATGAGTGTTTCCCACAAGTTACTGGGGAAAAACACTTTAGTCTTGTGTGTATAAATATATTAATTCTTTGTATTATATTTCCTAGTTTTCCCCGAAGAGGTTAAGAGGCCAACGAGCAGTGTGTCGCATGTTTTGCTACAAAAATATCTGGGGATTTTTCTCTTTGGAATGCATCTTCTATTTTCTTCATGATGAAGTTTGCAGTGGGCTTGGGACTCATCAGCGGAAGTGGACAATTTGTCTTCGATTTTTCAGATTCTTAGAAAAAGAATAGAAAAGTTATAATTAAATTACTGTTTTTTGACGTTAAACCATTCTAGAACGAAGAAGGACTCAATAGCGTCTGCAACGGCTTGCCCGCCGTTTGCTGACGCACAGAAAAGAGCCGTTCTGTAGGCTGACTCGATACCAGTCCGAAAGTTTTCAACAGGAGTTATATTACTTTTAAACAGTCATCTTCATCATCATCATCATCATCATCATCATCATCGTCGTCGTCATCGTCGTCGTCGTCGTCGTCGTCGTCGTCGTCATCATCATCATCATCGTCATCGCGCTCAGTGATATTAATAATGAACAAAAAAAGCATTCAAAAGAGACAGATTTGCTAGTCATATACGAACTACATTTGTAAATTAGAGAAAGGAGAATATCTCACCGGAACAAGGGCAAGATATGAAAAGAATTGTATGTCACGAGATCGATTAGTCCTGCAATCGCCGGAGTACTGTACAAACCAAGAAAAATTAATACAACAAAGCACTTAACTGATAACTTATTGAAATTTTACTGCTAGCTTTTAAAAATTAAGATAGTAATAATAAATTAAGGGAAATACTGGTAAACGCCATTTTACCAAGATGTTGTCGTTGTTGTTTTTCTCTTGAACAGTCAGTGACACTCAGCTGAAATTTGCTGACTGCACTTTAGCCTGCGAATACGAGGAGGAAAGTCCTGGCGAAACGTCCCTGGTGGCGAGGAGCTAGGAGAAACGGCTGTATTCGCAGGCTAATTACAGTTTGAGCCGGTTACAGTTTAAAATGAACCATAGTAAGAATGACCCGAAAGTTATAAATAGGTGAGTTGCCTTTCATATAGAGAAAAGTTTTCCCGGAAAAGAGGGTCACCTTCACAGACGAATCATCTCTAGGAAGCGCAAATATTAGAAAAATGTGCGCCCCCCCCCCCCTTGTCCAAGCCAAGAGATGACATCAGCGCTTGCGTCAGTATGCTCTGATTGTTTGGCCTTGACTAAGTTGACCCAGCATGTCAAACCAAAGTGTTTCAAGAAAGTTGAAACAGTTAGGCGGGTCACCCCTCGAGCCGAGCTAACATTTTCTTTCTTATGAAAACGGTTCGCCAAGTTTTGTAAGGAATAAAGAAGAAGTTACACTGGGTACCAGAGGTTTTTTTTCTCGCTTGCGACGAGGAGCTTCGTCGACCCGTCTTCGACCGAAGGCCGAAGACACGAGCTGCGAAGCCGCGAGAAAAAACGGGTTAGGGTTAGGGTCACTTTTTTTAAGACTTGACCGAAACCGGAAACCGCGCATGAAAAGCCTCTGGCACCCATGAAGCAGCACATGCAACTGGCAGGGGGAATTTGTAGTTCGAATTTTTGTGTTTCCAACCTTTACCTGCACCAAACTCCAGCAACCTGCCCCATCATGCACCAAAATGATAATAATAATACCGAATAATACAATTAACCAGGAGCAATTAGCTATTGCGCAGATATAAATTAAAGAGTAACGGGCAAAAAGCTAAAAGGCTCAATAGAGGCTAAACGACTAAAAAAGACTAAAGTGAAAATATTACAAAGTTAACCTAAAGATTCAACAATCACCCAAATATAAAAGGCTAACCGCTAAAATTTTAAAAAAAGCTAAAATGGTTGAAATGAAAATTTTAGAAACTAACATATTTGGCAATTAAAAACTTTTTTAATTCAACCGAAAACAGTCAGTCAAAAGGATGAAAAACCGCATACCGTAGGGCTGGATGATACCGCAATTACCACACATTAAAATTTTAATAACTGAAATATCGCTTGAAAAAAGCTCAATACAGCAATATATATATGTTTAGTTTACCTATTTGTTTACCAGCTTTTCTCGACACAGACCTGCCCAGAGCAAACGTGCACGAACGGGACTCAGGTCCCATGCAAGGTGCCATCCCTACCCAATCCTACAACCCGTAAAGGTTGGTCACACCACCGGGGTCTACGACCCCTACTCTTTTCGAATAGTGATGTGGGTTCTTTTACGTCCCACGAGAACAAATCAGTGAAAGTGCTGTGAGAGCGGACCTACGGTTTTTCGTCCTTATCCGAGAAGACTAGAAAGTCTTACCATTTGCAGATGTCATTGGAAAGGCAGCACTTTCTTCTCAGTTATTTAAAGACCCTGAGTGTTGGTTTGAACCCGCGACCTCCCGCTCAGCAGACCGGCGCTCTCCCAACTAAGCTAACCAGGCGGCGGTAAAACCCGTAAAATCCTCATATACCCTTCTTTTTTGCCATAAAAAAGTGTTCTTTCTTTTTTTACTCACTGGATTAACTATATTACAATTAATTTGACATTATTTTATCGGATCAATTATAAGTGAAACAAAAAATCCCGGTCTGAATAGCTAAGCGCCCTCATGGAAAGCCAAACAAAAGAGGATCGAGACAAATTTAAAATACGCAAAAGAAAATGAGCTGTCCTAAGTCAGTGTGTTCTGTTTCATTGTAAATCTAAAGATTTTGTTATAAAGCCTGGCTGTGTTGTTCACTTGTTCCGCTCTAGAATGGAAAGAAACAATGAAGAGGACAGAAACAAATTTAAAATGCGCACACTTATACAAAGCAATGAGCTGTCAGCCAAGATGGCGTCTAAAACATTTGGTTCGCGTGTTGGAGCAAGCTCTCGGTGCCCCAGGCCCACATAAAAAGCCCTGGAACCTCTTCAAACGCTTATAAGTAACTATACAGGGGATGATTTATCGAAGCGTTTGAAAAGATTTTTCAAATTGATTTTTGTTCGTGAACTATTGGACCGTTTGATCTCTGCGTACACTGGTCCGGCTCTTAAAACATGCTCCTCGATACTTTAATACCAGGATAGTCGATGCCTCTCGTCTTCGTGACACTGAGGAACAAGATAACAATGGCGTATCTTTTCCAGAATTTATTCATTATTATACAGACAATGAATCACGTCGAGACCCACATATTGGCAACACTATGAAAAGCTGTGCCATCCGTGCTCAATTGATTACGATTTTATTGGTCACTTTGAGACTCTGCAGAAGACGCCTCTCTCCTGCTTAAAATGACAGGACTGGAAAACTGCGCAACATTTCCTCCGATTCGCAACTCAACGGACTCAAATGAATTATTAAGTACTTCTCCGAAGTTCCTGCTAAGGATATTATTGGTATTGGGAAATCTATCGCAGTGACTTTGAAATATTTGGTTACGATTACCTCGGTCCTGTGAAGGAACTTCTCTAGCCTGAGTATCAGGCATTTCTAGGGGAAAGGGGGAAAGATCTTAGCAAGGCCTGATACTCAGGTTAGAACTTCTAGACCACTATTAGTACATCTTTCCTTGTCTTGTACAATATATTGGTCTTTTCTGTAGTTTTTTGGTTTTGTGTTGCATTTTTGTATTTTTGTTTTTTTGTTTGTTTTTTGTTTTGTTTTCGTTTGTTTTTATAAAATATATTAGATTGTATAGTGACGGATCCAGGATTCGTTTACGCGTCTCAGTTTGTGCAAACCATTTGTAAATCATACTTATGATACCAGAGATATGGTTTTAATAGGCTTCATTGGAATCATGTAGCTGTGATTAACAGAACTGTCATTAAATCACAGTTATGATTCCAGAGATGACTTCATTAGTCCTGTTGGAATCATAGTGATGATTGATAATCATGCATTGGAATCATATAATTATGATATTTTGGGTACACTTGTCAAAACATGTAATCATCTGTAATGATGTATGTAGGACTAATCCATGACCAGATGAATCATCACATATGATTCCATAGCTTGAATTCCCGTATCAGTATATAAGAGACCCCTTAACCGTCACAGGGGCTGCGTTAAATAGTTGTAAGGATTATTAAGGGAATAATCTAACAGTGCAAGTATTTTCTCAAATCCACACTTTTTTTGTTGAATTGACTAAAAGATTGTTTTGGAGAGGGTTTTAAACAAGAAAAGTGGTATTTGATTCACGGAACCATCTCCTTAGGCACCAATAAAATTCAACTGGATTGATGATTTACTAAACAGGAAATTGAATTAAAATTGATAGAAACATCTTCTCAGTTAATTACCTTATTCATTAATTGTTTTGTTCCAGATCTCTACTCTTTGTTTCATTTTGTTAGAATTTTACGTCCCATCTGTATGGGCGTTTACAAAGAAGATGATGATCTTCTTTGCATTTATTTGTTCGTTCCGCTGTTCAAATATATAATTATATTATATATTTGATATATTAATTTGTATATATTAATATATACAAATATATTAATTTGGGTATATTAATTTGTATATTAATTTGTATATTACTTTGTTCATCCCGTAGAATGATCGAATATGTGAAATTTACATATTCATCATTTTATAATATTTTCGTTTTCGGCTTGAAGCAGGACAAGCTGCTCACTCGAGATTTTTTCTTCAGTGATTTTGAATTGGTCGTAGTAACATTTCCTACCTTATACTATTGGCCGGTGAAGCTGGTCGATGCCCAGTCCAATTCATGATATTTACCAGAAGCTTCCATTTAGAGACGTCCGTTCTAGTGATTTAAAAATATGGGGAGGTGTCGTTGAGAACTGATCAGGTTCGATCATTTTGATATAGACATGCAGAATAATAGAGTGTTTTCACTAACGTGGCCAGTGCCTATGCAAATTTATTAGAACAGAAGAAAGCGTTTACATAAGAAAAGAGTTCAACTCCCACAGGATGGGTTTGGGACACCAATATGGCCGCCGTTTCATTGTTTTGGGACACCAATATGGCCGCCGTGACGTAAAGTGAAGACACTCTATACACATAATATAGAGAAGAGGAGTGACGACATGTTACCATAGTAGCGAAAATTTTGGATCTCAACGGTAAGGAGCTTACGAAACTACCAGGGGCGGATCCAGGATTTTTCTAGGAGGGGGTGCACTCGTCTCTTGCTCTACTTCAACACCAATAAACCACATAGTTTTTTTTTTGGGTAGAATACCAGTTGTATTAGAAAACCGCTGGTCATCTCAGGGGGGGGGTGCGCACCCCCTGCACCCTCCCCCTAGATCCGCCCCTGACTACGACGGCGACGGCAACGGGAACGTCAAAAAAGCAGTACGTTTAATGAGCAAAACAGCAACTCTACACGTGCATCACG